AAGTAAGGAAATAAAATCTAAAATTTTTTCGCAATCATGAAGGAAAGTCTTTGTCCTTTATAATTAAAAAGTCAAAAAAAGGTTGGTGGATTGGGTTAATTCTTTTAAGTTGATGCTAGGGAACTCGGTGCCTTCTTGAACGAAACCTCAGGCTAAAGGGTAGTTGTCAGGGCGAAGGTAGATTAGCTATGCTGATACCGCTTTGGACTAAAGCGTAATTCAAGTGAGTATTCAACTTGCATGCAAATCGTTCATTTTTTATCATAATTCATTGCGGAATTATAATATGTCATAAGTACCGATGATTTGTGTTCTTTGTGATCCTGACACAAGCACGGTTTAGAGAATATAATAGAGCTTCTTGAATGGTTAAGGAAAGGTTAAGGTGTTTATACATTAAGAGGAAACTTTCGTCCAAGAATGTTTTCTAAGAGCTCACGAAGTTATGCGGAGGTGTTTCGATACCAACAACAACCATATCACTAAGTAAGCACTTTCATTATGTCACCTTTTTGAGTCCTAGATGCTTATGATTCGTCTTAGAAAGTCCTTCAAGGAAGGAGGAGACACATCAGTGTTCAACGAAGGATTAAATCTGGATAAAACTGAATATGCTATTGTTTTCATGATAACAAATGCCTTTCAGAAGGTCCTTAAGTACTTCATATTTGACAAGGGTCAGCAAGCTTGAAGATTGTAATCTGAACATCTGTGTTACCGCTAAGGAGCAGATCTATAAAATTTACTCAGGTGGACGTCAATGTAAACTAATCAAATGAGGAATGTAGGTATTTTTACCAGTGCTATAAACGAGACTTGTGTCAGCCTCTGTCAGAAACAAAAAATAGCACCATTACAAGGATTGACAAGAGTGTTAAACCAAACTATAAAACTTTTAAGACCAAGAAAAACTGACTCAGTGAAGTTGGTAATTGATGCATATGTTTTATGAGTCTATATTTTTTGTGTATCACTAACAGCAGTGTACAGTCTTAATCAAGAAATATGATCTCTTGGTCTTAATTTGATACTATTGCTTTCATATGATGGAATGATACATACAAGTATTGTGGAGAACTTTTGATTTCTTGATTTTCTTTAACACTTTCTCGGCTTTATTCTAGTACCAACTAATTTACGCGTATTCTGTTGGTTTTTTCACTTCAGCATCCATTTATGCAGTGTCATGTTTGCGTTATGTAAATTACTATGCCCTATACATTTCTCGTTTCAAGCCCTTAGAAGTACTTTTTAAACCCCCTTCGTGCGAGTGTTTCGTGTTTCCTATATTTTCCTCAGCATTTGGTAAGTTTTTTTTCGCGTCGTATCTATGTATTTATTTTATTGTCTTGTTTTGTTAGTTTATTTCGTAAAGGTTGTTTTTCTGATTTTTATGAATTTACTTCTTCTTCACATTAAAAAGAGAGAAGAAAGCGGGCCCTAGCCTTATCAATGCATTCGAAAGTGTTCGAGTATATAATCGTGCATGTTCGAATATTTCAACAAAATTTAAATGCTTCTCTTTTACTGTTGGGTCGGTTAGAAGTAAGGGGGCAATTTTCGATTCATTCTTTTGAATTTTCAATACCCTCATCTGCAGAAAGAAGTTTCCATTCCAAAGTTCTCTCGTAGCCCCTTAACATGGTCGGGCGTGGGCAGTTCAGGGCCCATTTAAAAGGGAACACTGTGTTCTCGCACCTGACAAAGTCACGGAGATGGAGTCCAAGTGAGGTAACCAAAGATTTAAAGGAGGGGATTTTCTTTTTCCCTTTTAACGATGCAAGATCTTCATCTGTGTTAGAAAAGAGGAGAGATGCGCGTAGAAACATGGCGAATTGTTGAGTTAAGTTCGAGTATTCTAAAAAAGCCGACATTCCAGATAAATTAGCCAGCTCAGGGTTTCGTGTGTCTTTCAAAGCTTTCTGGACGAGGTCATCCAGGCATATCATATTAGGCAAGAGGTGAATCACTTCCGGCATGTAATTTCGGACCCAGTTGATTGCCTCGGTGGACATGACCGCGTAAGGATTGGTAGTATTAAGCGGGCCCTTGAATCTCGTTAATAGAACAGTGAGAGGATAATAGTCCCGTAGGTTAGAAGTGGTGATGCGATCATATCTCCGATCCGCTGGCAAGAAAGCTTCGACATTTAGGAAGTCAGATAGAATGAAGTAACATTTAATGCGATTTCGTCTGAGTTTTTCTATCGATTTGTTAAGAACAAGCGATATATAGATGCTGTACATTCGCGTTATAGATTTGTCATGACAGATTTTCTTGACTGCATTTTAATCCCACCCGGTAAATGGAAGTACATCGGTCGGTAGGCTGTAGTGAAAGTCAGAGTTCCGAAAAAACCGTTGAAATCCACGACCTGTCAAAGTGGGATTCTCGCGTTTAAGCTCTTTAGTATTTTTCATCGAAGTAAAAATACC